GGAGTGCTTTGTGACATATTTTTCATACATCGAGCATTCCACGCAATTTTCACAATAATCCAAGAATTTTTCCTTCATTATTATTGTTAGTTTATACAAAGAATTWTTTTTCACTTTTTAGTTTGATATGCTTTAAAAGCGTGTTTTTTAGTTTTTTTAAACTATATTTATTCTAAGTGAGAAAAGTGGAAACATAGCAGTTGTCGATTTACAATATTTGTCAATTCTAAAATATTTTTCCGTGGCTCCCAAAAATCAGCGTCGATATGTATGCAAGTTCATACATATGCATACATATTTACGCTAGTTTGTAGCCGAAGCTGTTACAGCGGCAAGGGAAGCGGTAACAATCGGCGATCGATTGTTAGTTTCTTTCGGCACAGCTCGGAATTTCTACCAACAACACAACGTTATGATGACTCTTTGACAGTACGAGAGCTTCGGCCATTGGTTGACCGTGAGAACGGAGATGTGAAAGATGCGTGCGTCACTTGTTATTATGAATGTATGTGGCTCGCATTTGCTTTCGTAAAAATAGAGACAAAAAAATAATATATGTATTCATATGTATRCCATAGAAATTCTATTGCTACAAATATGGAAATGATAACGAAAGAATGCGAATATGCATATTTCATGAAGGTCATCAATTTTCTTTGAATAAATGAAGTTCATTTGGCACACCTACACTGTGTAAGAGTCGAAATAAATATAATTTGTTTGACATTTTAATTTATTTAAAAATTAAAAAAATTAAATTAAAGAGAAATAAAATGAAAATTATTTTTACCTAATGTTTCTCGATTTTGTAAAAAAAGTTAAAATTTTTATAATTTTTCGGAAAAAATGGTTCATATAATATAAAATAATCACGCATATGTGACAATAGTTCACATTTTACAATATAAGCATGCATATGTGACTCAGAGAATGCTTCTTTACATCCTTTGTGTGACTTTGTAAATTTTTCTTCAAAGTATTTCTCTTTATTCATTCTCGCATGAATTCAGTCGTTTGAGCCAGAGAATTCTGCTAAATAGCAGCGAGAATGGTGAAATTCCGTATCACAATCTTATAAGTTCTGTTAGCCGTTCAATCGAACATCATACGGAATTCAATATGCACCTTCTCTATGTTTATACATTCTCTGTCCTGGCCTCCGAGAGAAAATTGTTAAAGGATCGTTTGGTGTTAGGAGAACCCAAACACCTTTAGAGCGGATCCCAGTTGATTTAACGTTGGAGCAAACTATCAATGGTGAGGCATCACGTCGGCTCACAGGAATCGTGAATCTCACAAACTCTATTTCTGCCAGACAACGTTGGGCACGAAATCACGGAGCTCGAACTCGAATTGTTTCGTACATTTTAGAACGTGCTGGGATGGGTAACAACAGGGAAGACCTCGCCGCAGATCTACATCCAGATAGACTTAAAAAACATGAAAAACAAATCGAAAGTTTCATGCATGGCATCGACCAGACCACAAATCCATTCACTTCCTCGATAGATAAAGAGCAACTGTACTATATCTCTACTGACCAAGTTACTACCCCACAAATTGCTAATTGCTTACTAAACACTGTTTCGTCCGGGATGTTTCTTCGCGATCAGTTCATAACTGAACGTAACATGAATCCAGATAGATTTCACAAATATGTAAAGAAAATTCCGAGACTTACTTTTGCCGGTTTAAAGAAGAAGAAGATTATGAAGATTGGACAAAAATTGTACGAGGTCACACTGCAGCGGGATTTACTCGGTAGATTATTAGCTCCATCTCTGATTACTAACTTAGATCTTGAAAAAGTACTGTGTTTTCCAATAACACCAGTCCCATTATCACTATGCCATATACATGGCTCTTTTAATACGAAATCAGTACTAGTTCAAAAACTCGAAAAAATATTGAAGAAATGGGTCAACCGCCACTCCAGATAGACTTTGTAATTGTAGACGGATTCTACTTAYCTCCCAACAAATGTCGCGCAATTTTGGAGACTTATCAAAGAAAATTTTACAAACTTTTGTAAACAATTCAGCAGCTAGTGTAGCTATTATATCTGGTCGTTACACACACCTTCGATCAAAGATTGTGAACATTCTCTCCGACGCAATGTAGATGACAAAGATTTTGGCTGAGTTCCAAGTTGCATGTTGCTTTGCATTGTTGCGATACCGATACCGAATTTATACAAACCCTACTGCTTTGTTTCAATTTGCTTTGTATCAACTTTGACATTTTGTGACAATTGTTTTCAAAACAACCAACAGCTATGGCGGCAAATGTGAATATAAGATTACTTATTAACAATTTTTTAGATTTATATGAAAGTGGCCGCAGCAACTCCTCGATAATCATTAATAATCGTTTGAAAAACAAGAGAAAAAAGCAAAAAGCGGCATTGCTTGGATTGTTCAATGCAAAAAAATTTTGAGCATCACAAAAAATAGAGATGCGCCCTATGSTCGATGTATGCGCATCTAATACGCATAAAACTTTATCGGTACTCGATACTTTGCATATTGTAAGCAGTTTGATTTTAAGGAATTCTATACTTCGTACTAATGCAAAGCAACCTGCAACTTGGAACTCAGCCTTTTATATTGCTGGTCCTCAACAAAGTAGAACATCTGATTTCGCTAAAGATTTAAAAAACATAAAATTGAAAGAAGCGTTAATCAAATTTCTTATCAATCATTGGGCTAACCAGAAGATGAAAACGATAATTGGTAACAAGAAAATATTCCTGATTCATGATTTGTGTTACGTATACTGATGTGATTACAACCCAGCTTTTTACAGGCGAGGAAAAAAAGAACTTTCGACATTTTAATGGGATCTATAACTATGCAAAAAGTATTTGCAAACTTGGGTTCTACAGATTATGATATTGAAGCATTATCTCCTACTGTAGAATCTTTCATCTGGCATCTGTACGGATTAGAAAAGCTATCTGATATCAATAGTGCTGGAATGGAAATTTTTCATAAAACGTAAAAAGTAACTGATACGTCTCAACCCTTCTCATTAAATGTGCGTAATATGACGCTTGTAACTTACCACCCTGTCGATCAGAGCTACAATTTACTATTTACATTTACTGCGGACGAAATATATAGCGTGTTTGTGGAGAAACACGCACAATCGTATCCTTATGGAGTAGTCGCCAACAGATTACGGATGGAAAAACGTGGATGGAAAGTTGGAGCCGACTTGGTTTGTTGGAAATCAACTTCCTGAAGCTTACGAGGACATCGTCATGACATCTGATATTTTAGGAGATACTTCTGATGCAGGTAAATCTTTTTTTGCAAACTATACTGTCATAAAAGAAGTAAACAGTTGTAAGTTTTGTATTTTTTCTCGGTTACAGAAATGCAAAATGACGAGGAAGTTCAAGAAGTGGAAACCAACTCGACGATGACTCGAATGACGAAAATTTACATGTTTTTTTTTTTAATTAATCTTCATATTAATAAATTATTAAATTTTCTGTACAAATATATGTATACACTGTTTTTTTAAACCTCTATTACGTCTCTCCACCTTGAATTGATTGTCAGATTAATATATATCAATTATCAGAAATACAATACGCGTATATACCATAAATGATTGAAGCGCTTGAGTCAGAGAACATAAAGCATAGAGAAGGTGCAAATTGAATTCTGTATGATGTTCGATTTGACGGCTAACAGAGCTGATAGATTTATAGTAAGGAACTCACCTTTCTCGCTGCTATTTAGCAGAAATGAGCACGTTCAAAGGAGGTGTAAAACGACTGAATTCATATATGTAAAACGACTGAATTCATACTAGAATGAATAAAGAGAAATGCTTTGCAGAAAAATATACAAAGTCACACAGAGAATGTAAAAAAGCTTCTCTGAGTCACATACTCGTACATATGCGGATCTTGTATCATATGAACCTTTTTTTTCCGAAAAATGGTGAAAACTGTAATTTTTTTACAAAATCGGGAAAAATTAGGTAAAAATAATTTAAATTTAATTTTTTTATTTTTAAATAAATTAATATTTCAAATAAATTATACATATTTCCACTCTAACAAAGTGAAGATGTGCCAAATGAACTTCATTTCTTAAAAGAAAATTGATGACCTCCATGAAATATGCATATTCGCATTCTTTCGTTATCTTTCCCATATTTGTAGCAATAGATTCTGTGGCATATATACATACATACATATATTATTTCTTTGGCGCATTTGTCTGTATGTTTATGAAAGCAAATGCGACCCACACACATATGTACATACATCCATAACAACAAGTGCCGCATGCATCTWTCGCACCTCCGTTGCCACGGACATACAATGGCTTGTTGTTGTCCGAGCTGTGCCGAAAAAAATAAACGAATGGTCGCCGATTGTCMCCGCTTCCCTTGCCACTGTAGCAGCTTCGCCTACAAACTAGCGTAAATATGTATGCATATATATGAGTTTTCATACATATCGAATCTGATTTTTGCGAGCCACGGAAAAATATTTTAGAATTTATAAATATTGTATATCGGCAACAGCTATGTTGCCACTTTTATCACTTATTTCTTAGAACAAACACCAGAAGATGTTCAATTTACGATTTTTAGCTTTTGCCATCGTGGCGAAAAGGCGCTTGTAGGCAAAGACATGCTCGGAGGAGGTTACGGAGTTTGTTTTTATGAATGAAGCGAAGTCGCTTGTGGACTTTCGATTATGAATGAAATCGTTTTTGTAAAAAAATTTATTACATTTGAGCTATTTAGACAATTGTGTTTTTTGCAGAACAATGCTTAAATTTTTTGTTGCTGACATAAATGTATCTACATACATATTCACATGWGTACGCATACGTATGTTTGTATGCTTGTGCATTATTTGTTCGGAAGTGTATACAAATATATGTATGTACATATAAGTATATATGGATGTATGAACATGCAGATTAATGCGCGCACATGTAATATTATATATTGCTAAGTGATAAAATCATGATTTGAATTTCTGAACGCGCACATGCTTATACATGCAATCATATGAGCAGATAATAAGATTAATATGATAGATTATGTATTTATACAGTGTTGTAATTTCTATTACTAAGAAACATAATACAAAATTATTTATTACTAATAAAATAGTAAAATCAAATATTAAATATTCAAGTCCAAATTGAGAGTAAATAGTGCTATGCATGCATTTATACAAAATTATTCTCATATCATAATTATTTTTATACGCCAATATGGAAATGCCGACAGCAAAACTCAAAAGCATACATTTGCATACATTGCATACAATGTTTTTATGTTCTCTGTGCAGACAACTTATAATATATAGAAGGTTCAATTGCGGACAGACGTGTAAACTGWCAAGAGCTAACAAAATCCTATTAGTGGATTACATCACTTTTGTCTTGGAAGAAGAAATTTTAACAGAGATGAGTGAACAGAGCTGATCATTAAATGAACATTATGCTCAACAAGTAAGGAAGGGCTAAGTTCGGGTGTCACCGAACATTTTATACTCTCGCATCAAATACCGTATTTGTGTAAAGTTTTATTCCGCTATCATCA